AATATGTGTTACATGCCGACCGCCGCGCCGATGGCATCTCCTTTTCATCTCTAGTCCTCGTCGCAATATTACATATTACATTTTACTCTTACAATTTTATTGAAATTTTCAATAAAATTGTATTAATCTTATTGTAAGTTTTAATCGGACTCAGGGTGGCTAAGAATTTTAATGAAATAAATAAAATTTTATTTTTTGTTTTGGAACGAAAAGGTCCGACAAACTTTTGTCCAATTTTTCTTCAAAAGAACCGTTCCGACAAACTGCGTTACTCTCTTGCTAAAAATGTTTAAAAGTTCTGGGGCCCAAACGATTTTGTTTCCAATAAAATTACAATTTTTTCAATAAAAAAAGAAAAAAGATTGTTTGAAAGTTGAAAAAACATTACAACAATACGTACTATTGTACAACAACTGAAATACTTTTACGGTATCATTGCAAAATAATTGCAACACCCCAGTTACAAAATGCCTCTCAGGAAGTAGTGGTTTGTGCTGTGAGCGCCAAGCAATATCGTTTGCTACCGAGGAACATGCAGCGGCCATAATCCCTTTGAAATTATTCCACGACGGACAACGGATTGCTTTCAATCTAGTTTGTGCTCACATAATTTTCCACGCAAGACTGAGAGACAGTAAATTGGATAGAAACGTTTCCTTTGATCGGAGGGAAGCGTTCCTGTAAGGGGGTGAGAAGGTTGCGATCTCAATCCTCACGTACCTGGAGCCGTAGCAACGATACCCGCACAATCCTTTTATTTGCACGGTGAGATCACCTGTTCATATCTCCAGCGCAGCACGATTGCTCAGGGTGTCCTAAAGTTAACTCCGAACAATTTGGGAACCCTAGAAGCGCGTTGCAATGAAAATATTGCGATTTAATTAAATAAAATCACAAATGTTTGATCATGGCATTGCAATGTAAGGTGCATCATTTGGTCGATACATGAGATTTGAACAATCAACAAGATGAGTATTCCGTGTGTCAGAAAGATAGGAAATTTACAATTTAACGAAAAATTGAAACTTACTGTTTCAATTTTTATTGCAATAAATTTTAATTAGATGTATCCCTCCGATCAAAGGATAGGCAACATCCAAAACATTCCAGTGCGATAACAATAATTTTACCATGTAGTTGCTATCTATTGCAATCCGTACTCTTTGGGTAGGGATTCTCCAGGGCGAAATGAGACTTTCCTCTTGTCATTTGAAGTTTGCTCTTGAAATCAAACCTCTGCATTGAGCTACAGGAGTGAAAAAATTCATAAAACATGAATGGTAAGAGTGTATTAGTCTGAAGTTAGACTAATCAGCGGACCGATTATTGAAATTGATAGACAAAGCTACAGACAAAGAAGAAAAAAGGGATATGGAGGGATCCTATTGGTGGAAGCGAGTGGTTGCGATAAACAAAGGAGGTAGGTAATAGACTAACTAACAGCAACCCACGAGAGACCCTATAGCTAGTCCATCATTTTCTCCCTTAGTCCATAAGAACCATTCATTTCAACCAATAGGATCGCTCCATATTATTCCCTATGTCTTCTTTGTACAGGGCCGGATTAAGGGGGTGGCCACATGGGCCGCGGCCCATGGCGGCAAATCTAGAGGCGGCAAATTTTGCCATTTTTTTAAATGTAGGTATAAAAAAATATTGGATTTAGAAAAAAAATACAAACGAGAAAAGGCGACAAAATCTCTCATTTCCTAAGAGTGTAGTAATTTTTAATTTTGTCGTCTTTCAGTGATAGAAGAGACAGCACCTTTAATTAGTCGAGTTAAGAGAGAAACCAAACAAGCAATTTGGCCTGGAACGGCGCGGCGCAGAGAGCAATGATGACGAGGACTAGAGATGAAAAGGAGAAGCCATCGGCGCGGCGGCGGTCGGCATGTAACACATATTAGCGCCTGCAAGACTGCAAGAATACTTCACGCATTGCATCAAACACAGTGCGGTGCGGTCATTGCGGTCAGCTCGAAACGGATGGCGCCTACAAGAATGCATGAATACTTCACGCATTGCGCCAAACACAGTGCGGACAGCGTGAAACGCATGGCGCCTACAAGACTGCGTGAATACTTCACGCATTGCGCCAAACACGGTGCGGTCTGCGCGGCGCGGCGGCGGAAGTTAAAATCATTGAACCACATTTATGTTTGTTCTTTCATAATTTTTTCGTTAATTCCTTATGAATGGAAGGCCTTATCCGCACAGAGCTAGGTTTACAAAACTTAACTTTTGTTGGTAGTGTTGACAGGGCATCCCCAAAAAATGTGTTCAACACGAGTAAACGCGTCTTATGCACCCCTCCCCCGCTGGCACGTTCACTTGATGGTTTTTATTGATGTTTCAATACGAATGAGAAGGGGGCGGCAAAATACAGGCGGCCCATGGGCGGCAAGTAGGTAAATCCCGCCCTGTCGTTATCTATCGCTATGTCTATCAATTTCAATAATCAGACCGCAGACTAACTTTGTTTCATGCAGTCTAAATGAATCCGAGCGCTTTGCCTTCACACTGACAATATTTTAATACAGTTCACGTCAAATAAGTTTTCAATCGCACTTTTGGAGTGGAACAGAGGATCCGCCAACTAATGAATATTTTATTTGCTTCCATTCCTGAACTGAAGACAACTGATCTCCTGTCGCACCCAAGTGCGTAACCTTATTTCTGACGTGCCCTCTATTAGAAGAGTAACACTAGGTTGACGTCAAAATGATTCGTGTTGACGTCAGCGTCATTTTTCTCAAAAACCAGCCTGACTCAGAATGACGTCCGTCCGCCTGACCCACTTTACTAGGGATGAAGTATTTTCTTGACTTGTAAGCCCTCTTTTCACGGATTCAGTCATTCTTGTGGCAGTTCTAGATTTGTGCCATAAAGAAAAAAAAGGAGGTGTTTGCATCTTGAGGTTTGTTTACCCTATGACGTAGGTCGGTACAACCTGGCCAGCGAAATCCGGAATTCGTAGTACGAAAAACAGACCATAATGTCCCATTTTTGGCTTAAATCAACTAATGATATGATTTCAAGCACTTTTTATAGAATGAATTTTTTCCATAAATTACACCATTTCCAAGAAAATCGATGATAAACGTCGCTGTACTGACTTACGTCATAAAAAAAATTCCAAGATGCCCGAAATGCAAACACCTCTTTTTTTTCTCTATGGATTTGTGCTAGAAAATTATTTGATGAGTACTCCGGAGGGTTTTGTGAGAAACGGAGGGGGCATTAACTTTACAGACACAGGTTCTCCTTCTGTCGACAAAAACCTTCTGAAATTTTCATGCAATTATTTTTTTTCGTTGGGCGAAAATTAATTAATTCAGAGATGCTAACAAGAATCACTAGGTGTCCAATTTCTTAAGACCGGCTTAAGAAGGGGAGGGGGCTTGAAATTTAAAAAAAGAAAAAACGAATGACAAATTCACCTGGGAGAGCAAATGAAGGAAATAATACCTATATTTTGGAAACCGCACATTTATATAGTTCCTTAAGCTCTGATTGACGAACTATGTTGTTAATCTATTGACAGAAATTGCACATAACAAATTTCGACTTCACTTTTGCGGCATGGGCAACAAACGGAATACTCTATTCAGAAATCACACTTACATTCTCTCCATAAACTTTTAGGGGGCGGCAAATTTTGAAGTTTTTTTAAATATAGCTATAAAGAAAAATCGGAATCAGAGAAAAAATTACAAACGAAAAAAGGTGACAAAATCTCTCATTCTCCGAGAGTATGTGTCTAATTTTGTCGTCTTCCTGTGATACAATAGACAGCACCTTTAATTAGTCGAGTTAAGACTAAGAGAGAAACCGAACACGGAATTTGGCCTGGAACGGCGCGGCGCAGAGAGCAATGATGACGAGAACTTGAGATGAACAGGAGAAACCCTCGACGCGGCGCGGCAGTCGGCATGTAACACATATTAGCGCCTACAAGACTGCATGAATACTTCACGCATTGCGTCAAAGATAAAGCGGTCGCTGCGGTTAGCAGCGGGCGGCGCGGCGTGGAACGCAAAGCGCCTACAAGACTGCTCGAATACTTTACGCATTACGTCAAACTTAGTGCGTGCAGCAGCGGTCGGCGTGAAACGCATAGCGCATACAAGACACTGCACGCATTGCGCCAAACACGGTGCAATCAGCGCGGCGTGGCGGCGGAAGTTAAAATTAATAAAGCACATTTATGTTTGTGCTTTCATAATATATCCGTTCATCTCTTGTAAATCGAAGGCCTTGTCCACGCAGGTATAGGTTTAGGGAACTTAACTTTCGCGAATTTTTGCTAGTAGTGTTGATAGGGCTTTCGCAAAAAATGTGTCCAACACGAGTTAACGCGTCTTATGCACCCCTCCCCCTCCGGCACGCTCACTTGATGGTTTTTATTGATGTTTCAAAACGATTGAGAAGGGGGCGGCAAAATACAGGCGGCCCATGGGCGGCAAGCAAGTCAATCCGGCCCTGCTATGGAGTGTCTATTTCCAACTCCCCCCTACCAAATACAATTTTCCTGTTCGATAACTCTCATATAATGATGCATTAGTGAAAGGAAACTAAAAAGAAAGGTTGTGGTTACAGATTGAATGCATTCCTTTGAGAACCAGTATGTGATAATTTTGAAATGTTTTGAAAAAATGAAGCCAACAAATTACGGAAAATAAAAAAAATTATATTAACAAATACTTAAAGAGACGGATAAAATTTATCGAGAACTATCAACAAGTTAGATAAATACTGCATAACTTTTAGAATTAATGCTTACAATCAAATTTAACAAATTTGCTAGCAATATAATTACATGACTTTGAATACTTATTTTCTGTCTAGGTGGAGAGAGTACATAATACCATAATTTTTGTTGGTGAAAAAATTGAACAACAAGAAACAGAAAAATGATAATAATAATAATAAGAAAAATAAGGATTTCGCGTTACACTAAATAAGAAAAACATAAAATATTTTAAAAAAGAGGTACAAACTTTTGGCAGACCAGACGATTTGGAGAGGACCTCGTCTTTTCTTTAGATAACGAAAAACAGACGCAGTTGACCTTCTTGGGAGTTACACTTGGATAAGTTTTTACTTTTCATGGGTGAAAGATTTCTGAGTTTTGTTCTCTTTATATTTTAAATCTGAATAATGTTCAGCATTTTCACAGGAAGATGATTCCACAACGATCGCCTTAAATTATTAAATTGAGATTTTCGATTTTGTACATCATCAATATTTTAGTCAAAACTGGGGTCATTAGTGAGTAGTTAGAAAAAGTTGTGTTTTCTGTACAAAAATGAACGAAGTATTATTTGAAAGTCTCCTGAAATCTTGAAGAATGAATTAGGTGTTATTTAAGGACAAACTTTGAACAAAAATAGACAATAAAGACTCGACTTCAGTACAAAAACTTTTATAAACAACTTTCTTCGTTTGGGTCAATAATTTGCTTGCAAAAAGAATTGGAAACTAACCAATTTCACAGTCAATTCACATTAACCTTATTATTTAAATCCTTAGTAATCGTAAAAAAATTCTAAGCTTTTGGATTTTCTAAACCTTACAAACAATCATGTTAATTTGCTAATGAATTCTGTGTGTCACAGAATTGTTTTTAAAGTTTGAATGTTGTATTTCGTCAAAGAAACGGTACCGCCTTGGAGACAATTTGTGCCAGAATGAGTTAGCAACGGTGTGGGATTCTACATTATATGATGCGCAAGCTGATATTTTTTAAGTTTTTTCCAATCTTGCGTCGGATCAAGCTTTAAAGTATACAAAAAATTGTAACATACCTTCAAAATTTCAAGAGTGGCGAAGGTTTTTCTTCGTCCTGTAAAATCATCAGTTGTGAGAATAGACGGTATTGTTTGTTAGTCATTAATAAGTCTTTCATAAAGAGAGGTAAATTTTGTTAGGGCGATGAATGATGCGACTGGATCATTATGGGGCACCACTGCAATATACTGAGAATTATTTGAGAAACTTACATGAACAACTTTCTGATCATTTAAGTGGCTTTGGCACTTTATGACTAAAAATACAAGTGATTTACAGGGCAATTGATGCAGTAATACTAGAACTAAATTTTACTAAGTTTCACAGGTAGTCTCTTGCTGTCTCAGAAATGCTCTGAAAACAACTATTAATGAATCACATAAATGAGACTGATAAAATGGCTCGTTAACACATTTTTACAACAATAAATAATGGAGGCATAACTTGAAAAAACTATTCATGAACAATAAGTTTAAAAAATAAGACTTCAAGGATAAAGAGCAACAGATCAGTTCAATTTGAATTAGATAAGATGTTCTCTAGAACTCAGTCTTTGGGCTAAGTTCGAGAGGGGAATTGTCTTCAAATTTACTTCATTCACTAACACATGAAGAATTTCTCATGTTGTCATGTTAGATTATTCAATATCGTGCCCCTTACTTCTCTTGAAATAAAGAAGATTCGCCTGTTCTGACTTAACCCTCAGACATAGTTAACGAAAAATCATGTCTAACTCCAAAAAAATGTTTGAGGTCATACAGTGTTCTTCTTTAGAACTTCACAGAAAATGGTTTTTGAGGCAGAATCAGCCAAATTGCATTTGATGATGTCTAACTTTGCCTGATGTTTTACCTTTTTTTTTTAACAGAGAACTAAACAACATGGCGCCTTGGAACTTTCTCTACATTATTATAAAGTATAATATAAGTACTTAATTAATTTCAAGTCAGAATGTTGCTTGGTTTTCTAAAAAAAAATCAAACATGGAAAGAAATTAGGCAAAGTCTGACATAGTAAGGCTTAATTCAACTAAATTCATGCAATTTTTCTTTAACAGCCACAATCCTTCTCATTGGAAAAATTAATTGAGTTTTGCCAAGTTACACCTGCAAAAGATAAAAATTTAAAGTAAATCGTAATCGCGCTTATTTCGTAATTATGACAACAATTTTCTTTTTCTACAGGGGAGAAAGAATTTATAACTTTTCAATTGATAATTATTTTGTTGATGATTTTGCAAAAATATCTGGACAAAAAAAGACGACTAAAAAATAAGAAATTGCAGAAGTACTTAAAAGTCACATTGTCTTACAGGAAAATATAAAATCCTACAGATGTCTAAATACAGAGTTCCCACAGAATTTAGAGAACGAGTTTACTTGACACACTTTGATTTTATTCTCTGACAATTGAAGATATGCCAGACGGTTAAAAAAACGTACTTTGAAATAGATTTCTGGCAAAATTTGATGTTCAAAACGTCAAATTCCACTGGAAAGCAAAGGTGACTTAACAATTTTTCCGTGACACTTCTGTAATTTTTCCTGACATTTCCTGAATGTGGTAACCCTGTAAGTAATACTGTTCTTCAAATATTTCCCCTATGCACAATTACAAAACACTACCACAATCAGGCTGACAAAATTTTTGAACTAAGTGGACGAATATTTCTAGCTGATCTTGATGCCTCATATCGATAGATAGATATTTTACTATGATAAAACAACTCTCTTTGTTTTAAAATAAACTATCCTGGTTCATTAAGTAAAAGCTAAATGGCTGGGAGAAGATTGATTGGTTAAAAACAATCAAATGCATACAGAGGATAACTTATGATCCAAAAAATCTTAATTTCCTACCGACAGGCAAGACGCAATTCAACAATCATCTGTTCAAAAATATTTACAATTATTGTGTACATGATGCACACTCACTGAGGCAATGATGAACAGTCTATTTACAATCAAGTCTAAATCTAACAATTGTATAATAATCACAGTATTATGGAAAAAAGATACAGGGAATAAATAAATAAATAAATAATCTTTGGTATTCAGTGCTTAGGTTCATTTGAAGGTCCTGAAAGAGGCTTCACCAAAGAGCCGTCTCAAAAACTGTTACATTACAGGAGCAACTTTTTTAATGTGGCTTGTTACAAAGAAAGAGTTCTCAGTTCTACTATGATCTTTACCTACTGTTATGCTGAGGAGTAATGTCGTATAAACATTCGTACGTTGCCGGATTTCTCCGCTTTGAATATTGATTTTTAAGAAAAATTACAAATAATTCCAATTGAAATTTTTAGATACTTTCGATCACTTTTAAAAAAAAATCACTGAAAAATTAAACGGAAAAAATTCACCAGTTTTCCTGAAAATTCTTATTTCATCATAAGAAATTTGCAATGAACGAAGGTTCATATGGCGTTCTTCCTTAGTATAACAGTATATGGGAGAATAATTTTCTATCAAGATGAAGGATAAACAAAGGAATATTTAAAGTATGTTTCAAAAAACGAAAATTGAAAAGAGGTCAAAGGAAGCTATTCTCAGATGTCCAAAACCATAATATTCAGTACGAATTTTAAGAGTCAACAGGCTATGATTATTTTAAAAAGGCACCTATGAACTTCGATTACTTAAAGGTCAAATAGCACCGTAACTCTGAGTACGATAAAATAGAAGATGTATGATCTCTTGAGTCAATAAAATAACAGATCATAACCTGGAGAGCGCAAAATTTTCTTTCATTGTTTTCTAGGTTTTTAAGTCTAGCTATTTTGATTTATTAGGTATGTTAGAAGTTCAGGAGGTGTCATTTGGATATGATACTTATTTGCGATTTCTTGGATCTTCAAGCGTCTTCGAACATGTGGAGGGTGATAGCTGAAAAAAGGAGAGAATATAGTCAAAGCATGATGGGTGAAAATTAAAAATGGATAGAAATCAAAGGGTTTAATTGTTTTACATGCAGGCTATTTATTGAAATCGATAGACAAAGCGATAAACAAAGAATACAAAAGAAAAATTCAGTGATCCTATTCGTTAAAATGGGTGGTTTTGAAAGACGAAGAGGGAAAATGATGGACTTACTATATAGTCTCTCGTTGGTTGCAGTTAGTCAGTCTGTTACATACCTCCTTTGTCCATTGCAACCACTTGCTCCCACCAATCGAATTGCTCCTTTTTCTCTTTGCCTGTAGCTTTGTCTACCAATTTCAATAATCAGTCAGCTAATAGTCATAGGACTGATTTATTTGTCAATAAATTATGGTTTTTGGTTGGCAAGATTAAAAAATGTTGAGGTTTGAAAATGAATTTTTTAACCTTTTTAAAATTGAATGCTGGGAAATTTTCTATTTGGCATTTTCAAATTTTTTCTGATTATTCAAAAACTTGTTGAATCAAGGCCTTTTCTGAAACTCAAATTAGAGCTATAGTCGGCGGTCACATTGGTTACTAGCTAAAATAATGTTATGATTTGAAATTAGATATTTTCAGCCGTAGGAACTATGTTGTACATTGTCAGAAACTTAGTAGTACCTGTCACTATCTAGCCTCCTCCTGCGGCACATATTCAATGCAGTTTGGCGTACCAACGTTCCAGCAACTCTACGACTTATGACCATTCCATCCACTAACGGCGTGGCAACGCTCATTCTGTAAGAAAACATGGAAAAGTTATTTCTATTTGTGGACATGACATTATGTAATTTGACGGATTGACATTTTGAAATCAACTGATAAATTAGTATACTGATAGTTATGATTTAAAAAATCAAAAAGTTTTTAACCATCTCTTATTACTACAAAAAAGGTTACAAGAGTGGTTTTCTCTCGCTCATCAAAATAAAGGAAAAATGCAGCTCAAAATGAAAAGGCACTGGTCAATTATTCTAACCTGTTGTTCCTTTTAACTAGAATTTTTTCGAGAAATGTTAGGAGTTGAGTATGCCTTTAAATCCTTCCCCCTTAAACTCTACCAAACTTCTTATTACATGTAGAAAAATGTGAGGTTAGGTACTCAATTTGCAGGTAATTAATTTTAAATTAAATAGTTCTAAGGGTGTCTACAAACATAAAAAGAAAAAATTCTTTGACTCCTCGAGGTTCATTCTAATTAAAATGACAAAAATTCCCCTTCTCTTTAGCCTGACTATCTATTGACAGGTAAAAAAAAAAGCTATGATTTGGGTAGCCTTGTTTCGATTTCAACGCCACTTTTGCAATCTTGTTTACACAACATAATCTGCCAGACTCATGAGTCTGTGTGAGCATTTCTGATTAAACTTATTTTAAACACCTGCGTAAAAGTGGCCTTCATTCTTCAGCGAGGACAATTTTTTGTACAGATTTTGAGATACTCATTGTAAGTGATTTTTTTGTGCTAAAATCATAGAAAATAATTACTTGCATGCCAAACCCTTCTGGGCTTGTTCCGTAACTCCTATATCCTCCTTCTATAATCTTCACGAACTTGTAGGCTAGTAAAATTTAACACTTGTACCTCACGTATATCGCTGTAACTGTTCACCATGTATCGAATATGACGTGTGCCATAGCCTCAGCCAGAGGCTCAATTGTACAAATTATAAAATAAATAAATAAATAAACTCAAAAATGGCTCACCTGCCAGGTGGTCCAACTAATTTCACTCGCAGTAAACCTGAATTCAAGGCATGAAGATAAATAATGAAGCTATCTTGCGTCTTTGATCCTGGCTGCCCTGTGTCAGTGTAAGGGAGAAGATCCTCTGAAAAATCAGAAAACAATATTGTCACACCACGAGGAACAATATAAAAACTTAATAACAAGTTTTAAGTATTGACTTTTTAAAATCACAGGGTATGCTGTTGCTATAAATGAGATCGTCGAGGACAAAGTTGGATGCCTTTAGATTCTTACTTTTAAATTTTACTACATGATTCATTTTTAACTCTTCATTCTCACCAAAAAATTGTCGTTTTAGGATTGTGAAATCTGCACATATGCTTGAAAATAGGCTTGATTTTTCTTGGGTTCTGGGTCTAATCCATATTTCAGTTGTTTAATGTTTCAATTTTGTATTTCTTCATATTTTGTTTCTGCTAATGGCGGCTGGGTGTTTGCCAAAAACTTTTTAGTTTCCATTTTCATAGGTTTCAACTTCGTTAGCTCCGTATTTTTCCAATCATCTAAGATTTATCTTGTCTCTTCACACAGAATTGGTGTGAAAATATTCCCTGGTTTGTCCAGACTTTTCCTGACTAAACAACTCTCAATGTTTCAGCTTTTCACATTGATAATTTTTACACGAAGAGCTGATAATGAAAAAGTTTTGGCAAATAATTTAACTGCAATAAAAAAAAAACATGTGAAACTATTTTCATTTGGTCATGAACCATTCAGTTAACTAAAACTGTAATTCATCATTGAAAATCATTCCTCTATTCACTGTTCTGAGAGTGACAAAGAGCACTGATCCTTCAACCAGACTGAGGCTCTTTTTGATTGCGTAGACAGCACTGATTTTTTTTTTTTCACATTTTATATTCCAGATTCTCCAAATTTCCGGTCTCTTTCTTAAGCTACCCTGACTTTTCCTGACCTAAGGAAATGCCCTGATAAGTCCAGGTTTTTCAGACCTGTAGAGACCCTGCGCAGAGACTTTTACATAAAATTTGGCTAAACCTTTGATGATACAAAAGAAGGGTGGAATGGAATGATCACAAACCATTTGTTCAATGAAATCTATGGAATAGGAAGAAGAAATCAGTGAGGAAGGTTCTTACCAATTGGGAATGTTAGATGATCTTCAAAACTCTCCAACCATACAAGCATTAGAGTGGTTATAGGATTTACAAGTCGTTTTCGATTACTTTCACTAATGTGCGGCGATGAAGTTTTCGAGGTATTGTCGCTGTCTGCAGGAGAATGTGTTCTGCCATTGCCTTGAGCTGGACTTCTTCTGATGTCTTTCTCTGGTTCTAAGGAAAACGGAAATGTTCTTAATTATTTAAGGCTTGAGCAATACTTGCACGTAATAGAAGCGGAGGGAAAGAACCAGAAACAAGTTGACAAATTGCGAGTAAAACTCGATGTAAGAATGTAAATATTAAACAATGAAAAGAGTCAAAGTATAAAAATGTGCGACTACTAACATTTTTAAATGTCTAGTGCATTTTAAAAGATCTGCCCTTTTCTTTTGACTCAATATTTTGATAGAATTAATTTACATGTTTGAGTTTTTTAAAATCAAATTACGCATGTTTTCTTTAAAGTTGAAACATATTTCAAAAGCTGAAAAAAGACAAGAAGAAATGAAATGTGAGAAAAAAAAATTCAAAGAGCCAAAAGTGTAAAAAATACCTAATCTTGCTGCAATCAGCAGATTGCAGCGAATGAGGGAAAAACCTCAAAATTTGCTTAAAACGGAAACTTTGAGGAAAACTAGTCCCATGTAATGTATAATCTAGCCTTTGTGATTTGTTACGGTACATACAAATAAGCGGCTGTAATTTGGGACAATTAGGAAGGAAAGTCAGATTACTAAAAAAACTGTCTAAACCCAGGAATTTCTTCCACCCTTTATTATAATCAGTACTTTTGAGTAGATTGTAAAAGAGGGATCATAAAATCTTACGGGTAGAATTTGAAATAGAATCCAAAGTTGGGACAACAAAGGCGATTTCAGATGAGGCGTCTGCCCAGTAGAGAACCTGAGACTTCCCGTTATACAGGCAGCCTCCGTGAACAGCTTCACTTTGATCTGCGGACTTTGATGAATGAACGTTTTTATCACTGATTTTCCAGCTTGTGCGCACATGTCCCGTCCAACCAGGGTGCGATCCGACAGCAACAGGCCATCCCAAGGAGTGCAGGATTTCAAAAAACTGCGGTGAAACCATAGATTCGCTGAGAACATTGTTCAAGATTTCCGTAGGTGACTTTTGATTGGCTCGAACATAGAATACATGACAGGTATCGTGCGTCCTTTCACTTACACAGTCTAGAGCTCGCAAATCTTCGCTGAAGTTTGCGTGTTTACAGTCGAGGGTAATTAAGGGAGGAACAGGAGTTTCCTGAAAGCAGTAATGAAATTTAGATTTAATATTCAAACGACAGATCACCAAAGGAAAATACTTAGAGATGAACAAGGAATCAAGAATGAAAGAGATAAACAATTCTCAATGACAAAGCCAATAATGGAACATCAATAAACTAGTGGGTGGCTTAAGTATACGAGTAATCTAAAAAAGCATTATAATAGATTATATACAATATTTATACAAAATTCCTCTGCACATAAACATCAACTGCTTGATGACATATCCATTACGCAGTTGGTCAAAATAAAAATCTGCTGAAATGATCTAGTTCAAAAAATAAATTCCAGGCGACAGACAATCAAATCAATTCTAAATTTATTTTTTTGGCAATTTCTGCCTTATAGGAATTTACTGTTTTGAAATGATGTAAACACAACTGTTACCAAAATTTTAACATTAGGAATTCAATTTTCACAAGTGGATTTTCAATTCGGAGATCTAGGATATTATGTATTTGAATCAATAATATTCCTGATCAAATGATGCTCATATAACTTTTATTGTTTACACTGGAAAATGATAATCAAGAAAACCGAGATAAGTATGGACATAGTTCTATTCTACCACCCTGTGAATTGCTCATTTTTGTCCTTTCTCTAAAACGAAAACATTTTTCTTTCAGAGGGAATAAGTTCAGGTTGGTGTACACACACTTGACTCTTGTGATTGCTACATACTGGGGGAGAACTAAAACCCTGAATAGACTGTGAAATCCTGAATCAATATTGTTGCGCTCATTTAATAGAGACTAACCTGTTTCTCATCTAGCCTGGCTAGAAATCCAAAATGCGAAAGGAAAAGTCTTGCAGTTTGAAAATCATTACACGGCGACGGTGGAGCGCACTCCTTCTCGTATTCTGGACTGGGTTTTTCTTCCAAAGCAGCGTGCTTCTCAGACAAGTGCTGTTGATCAATCAACTGGCAAAGCTCTGAGCACTCAACATTTTCGACTAGAAAGCTTTCAAGCTTGGGGATCGACTGATCGCTGTGTGATAAACAAGAAGCAAAAATGGATAAAGAGAACTGACTTACTTGAATCTAAATATTTGATCAGGCTCACAAAGCTCCAATTCAGTATTTCAGAAAAAAACAGGATAATAAAGTAAAAATTTAAACTGGTTTTGCTGGGGCATCGGCAAACAAGAGGCAAATTTTGGCTTAAGTGGCAATTTGGGGTGTCTGCTAAAATTCTATTTTGGTTTTCCTGATGTATTTAAGGAAATTTCCTGATTTTTTGCCCGTGTAAATTGAGACTTGTCTGATTTTACAAACTTATATGATGACTCAAATTAGAAGTTGGCGTGAACTATACTGAACGTGGTTGAAAAATGCTTGATGGACTCAGAATTTCCTGATCCATGACCGATTTTCCTGATATTTTCCGGTTCTTGCTGACATGACAGCAATTTGAAGAAAGGATAACTTTTTTTTTGCTCATTACTTCAAAAAGTAGGGCAAATTGGACGTTTTACCAGAAGAGCTGGCATTTCACCATAAAATGTGACATTTGGCCACGAGGCAAATTGGAAATCAGGCTGTAAGACAAAAACGTGGTATCACTAAAAATGGCCCGCATTTCGGAGCTTTTTACACTCCTGTGATTTCCACTGAGAGAGCCTACACTTCTGATGGCTTACGTCCCATTAACACATTGAAGGTGAAACTCCCGCACCACGTATGAGTTGCAGGAAAATAGGCAATCAGGCATTTTATCAAATGTCTAGGCAGAGAAACAACTTTTAAAAGTTTATGAAGTTTCACATGCTTTTACAAAGAGCTCTCAAATTTTTAATATTTTAAAAGTAAGAATTTATCTAAATACAAACTTGTATTATATTTTCCGTTTCAAAATGCTCCTTCTTCACTTTTAACCATCAGAATTATACAAATTCTATGCATATTCTAAATAATCATGTATCTTTTACATTGCAGCAACTATTAAAGGCAGCAAATTTGTAACAATAATTCCTATCAATGAAGACAAATTATTATTTTGTCTAAAATTAGCAGAAGAGCCAGAATTTCAATCAGAGAGAGAATGTTTGACACTCAGCCCAGGAATTTGGAAAAATGCCTGATTTGATTACTTACCTGCAATGTATGTATCTCATTTGTGGTGTTTTGAAATTTTCACTTCTATATTAAATATTTGAATGAGAAAAAAAAATCAAAATTATTCCTTGAAATTTTCACGGAACTTTCTTCGCACAGAGAAGACAAATTACAGTAGTTATTAGGAGCTGCCATTGACCAATATCCGAATTAAAAATAAAGTATGACAGGCAATCAGCAACATCTTAAACCGAAATAAGTGGTTTGAGAGTTTTATCTTCGATCTGAAGGAGCTTCAGACGGAGCAGACTTTCAATAAAACCTACATTTTACAGGGAGGTATCCTTTCCATGATATCAGAGAAATATCTTTGTCGAATTGTTTGTCGAGTGAGAGGTTCGTCAATTGGTATTGGTCTGCCGGGGTTGCTAGAGTGATGGTGCTTCGATGGTGATCGGTAACGTGGCAGGAACCTTAATTGAAGTGTCCAAGCGTAGCGGCCAAAAGGGCTTCGAACTAATACCGTTATTGTGGGTTGAGGATCTGGAAAAAATTCATAACAAAAGTTTCAGACAAAATGAGCAGAGATGAACCGAAGAGGTTGTCTACTGAAACATTGGTAAAATTGTAAATACTTGAATAAAATGTGCTACACACGTTGAATAAGGACCAGAAGCATAAAATTTCACAATTTATAATCATTACATTCTTCATTATCATTTCATTTTAATTACATACTTCGTCATTCAATTTAGATCAGATTAATGCTAGCAAACTATACAAGATTGCTAGGTATGAATTCAGCTCACATGCTTAAAAAGTACACAAAAATTTGTAGAATTTTTAAAACTTTTCGAGAAGTTATATAAAACTTTCTCAGAGAAAATGTCATGAAATTTTAATCAATATTGAAATTTGTTCTTGTTATACTGAGTGTGGTTAATAATTTCCTAATTTTTCAATTCTCCGAGTCCAAATTTTTTGAATTCCTTGACTTTCTCTGACTTTCCTAAAAAAATATCACTTGCACGTTATTTGTTTTTACAACACTGACTTTGAGTGGAATTTGGACAAAAGTTCCACTCAAAGAGATTCGAGATTCAAATTTAGGAAAATAAGGCTTGAAAGTCTTTTGCACTCTCTCAAATGGTACCGGCTAAGGTTGCTGAGTTGATGCATTACTCCCAAAATTCTCTGACTTTCCAGGATTCCCACATAGCCGGAAACATTGATAAATTTTAATTACCTTCATCTAAACTCAAAGGATCTTCCAGTAATGCGAGCATTATTGCATTGTCTACAATGAAGTAACGGAATTTGTTAATGGCATCCCTCTGACTAATCTTGCCGTCCAATCCCAGGTTACAATGTTTAACAAGGGAAAACTCGTCTAGTAAACAGGAAATTGATTCTGCTCCGCAGGGCGAGGGGAAATTGCCAACCTATAATTGAGAAGATAAAAATTATAGAACTACAATATTTTTTCAGTCATTAATTTCCTTATCAATTCAGAAAGACATGGTAAAATACATCAGAAAGGCTTGAAACATTGCAGATTACACCAGCAGGCTAATCAGTTCAATTGCAAGAGACAAAAAAAAGAAAAAAGAATAAATGAGTAAAAGAATAAATATCAGTAAAATTAATGTAAAGAATGTGGTCCTGAAAGAAAAAACTTTCAGGGAGACTGAAAATTTTCCCAACGAAACTAGAAATTGACCTCATCATTGACCAAGTAAGGGTATCTACCATCTCATATTCGTGTATTGGTAATCCGTAATCGGTAACTCCAGGTTAGTAAGTCTCATCATTTTAACCGTCAATGCATGAGTAATGGCAGGTATCAAAGGTGTGAGTCGGCAATCACATATCTCATTTGCGGGGTCTGAAAATCTCCGCCTCTATGTTATTTTTTTAAAGGAAAAAAAATTGACATCATTCCTTGAAGTTTTTGCAGAATTTTCTTCGCACAGAGAGGAAAAATCACGGCAGTTTTAAAGGATTGCCGTTGAGTAGTTTTTTGTTTAAAAACTAAGTATGACAGGAAGTCTGCGACATCGCAAACCGAGTTATGTAATTGCCGACTTACACCGTCGGTACTCTGGTCACAGTCATTCTAGGATATACATGTTATGACGAGATATCTCTTCATGAGACATGGCAACGCTGTTTTTGTTAGTTCCATCATTTTTCAACAGAGGTGAGAGATGGGGGGGGGGTTCACCCACATTTCGGTAGTTTTTCTCTTCTATGTTGTGAACTGGTTTAACTGCACAAACAAACAAAAATTTGCTTATTTAACATTCCAGGATGATAAAAATCTGTGCAACAACTCTGGAATATTGATGTGCGCACTCCAGCTGTTCATGTTACATTCTAGCGACGCTGAATTAATAACTGGGTATCCACTAAAATAGGCTGGCCAAAAATCAGCACTTTTACAGCACTTTTTCAGTAAATCCCAAGAAATTCAGTACCTCCTCAACAGAAAAATTCAGTACTATTTCACTACCTCCATTTGCCGCAATTTGAAAAATTTTGAGAATTTGAAATTCTCACTCGAATCGCTACAAAAATGACGTANAGTTTTTTGTTTAAAAACTAAGTATGACAGGAAGTCTGCGACATCGCAAACCGAGTTATGTAATTGCCGACTTACACCGTCGGTACTCTGGTCACAGTCATTCTAGGATATACATGTTATGACGAGATATCTCTTCATGAGACATGGCAACGCTGTTTTTGTTAGTTCCATCATTTTTCAACAGAGGTGAGAGATGGGGGGGGGGTTCATCCACATTTCGGTAGTTTTTCTCTTCTATGTTGTGAACTGGTTTAACTGCACAAACAATCAAAAATTTGCTTATTTAACATTCCAGGATGATAAAAATCTGTGCAACAACTCTGGAATATTGATGTGCACACTCCAGCTGTTCATATTACATTCTAGCGACGCTGAATTAATAACTGGGTATCCACTAAAATAGGCTGGCCAAAAATCAGCACTTTTACAGCACTTTTTCAGTACAATCCCAAGAAATTCAGTACCTCCTCAACAGAAAAATTCAGTACTATTTCACTACCTCCATTTGCCGCAATTCGAAAAATTTCGAGAATTTGAAATTCTCGCTCGAATTGCTACAAAAATGACGTAGACATAGATACAGTACCATGTTGGGCGTTCAAAAATGGCGAATTTTTGGTCCAGGCCTCCCCCACAGAGAAGAAAGAGGGTGGACGGGAAATCTGGTCTCTGCTCAGCTGGAGTCATTGCGCAGTGCCAGAACATTGCAGAATTTAAATTTTTGCACCCTAGCAAATCAAAAGTTGCCATCACTTCCCACCAAACGGAATTTTAATTTACTTTTTACAGCATATGTATGTAGATAGGTCTTTTTGCAATCTTTCATTAAGAAAAAAATTCGACTCAATTTGATGAGCCGTTCACAAATGATAGACCTCCTTTGCCTTTGACCCCCTGCTCAACCCCTATGAGGGAATCCAACCCAAATAATCCGCCAAATTGAAAAATCTCACATCCTACTGAGTCACCCCGAAAAAGATAGATCAGATCCGATAGGGGGAAAATCTAACGTG